TCAAAAAACAAAAAGTAAGGTATTATTGAAATAATTAAATTGTATGAAAGTTAAAATCGTCCAGAAAATGATTCTCTCTTGATGTGATATTTTAATATATTATAGATTATAGATTGATTCCCAATAGGTGTCTCTTAACAATAGAGATAAATTTCAAGATGTGTATTTTGGTATGATTGTGTCTTTTTGGAAAAACCCCTCAAACTACATTATATAAATCCCATGTGTGTGGATTTTATTCATTCAATTCATAATTCCATATTAGTTCTTTTGATTACATTGCAAAAACTCACTTTTGAGAAGTGGTCTTTTATTGCATAAAATCATGATTCAATAGAGAGAAAATTTTGTTGCTCTATCTAATTTGAAATGCTCCTATTGCGGGATGTGATCGTTATATCTTGTAAGATGATTGGAAAATTGTTAGCGCCAATGCGAGACAAATTTGTCTTAAGGAGAAAGTGTCAAACACTTACATCAATTGATTTAATCACTTGCATTTTCTATTTTATTTTTTAATTTCTTTGAACTTGAGATTTGAATTCAGAAAAAATAACTATTCTTTTGATTATAGGAAATGTTTTTTGTTGAAGAATGAAAGGATTAAATCCATTGTCACGTAGTCGGCTTCGGTAATTATCAATTCATCTTCTCAAATCTTATTTTTGTAAGTCGAAACTATGTTTGGTTTCACGCACATAAAATGTACATTTTGAGAATATAGTTCATGCACATTATTGGTGTAATATCTCAACATTGGGAACACCCCCAACCCCATTGAAGATGATTTTTAAAATTATGGCTTATTTGGCAAGGTATATATTTTTGGTTCAGTTTTTCACAGAAGAGTTTTAGAAGATTTTATTAATATTTTTTAAAAAAAATTCTAACTAGAAAAATTAAATAATTACTTTTATAAAGTTAATCAAATGAGTTCAAGAAAAGTCGCTTTTGACTTCTAAAAAAAATGTCAAACCTACCTTTAATGCGGAAGGATGTCAATGAGTCGAGTCGAGCTGGCTCGAGCTTTTTTAAGGCGAGCTCTTTTTGGCTCAATTTGAGCCGAGTAAAAGCTCGGCCAAAAAATTAAGACTCGACCCGAGTCGGCTCGATTTTTTGAAATTTTTTTCTCTCTTAAGCTACCAAACAGGTAGCAAATTTTTCTTTTTTTACTGGCTGGTTGAGCCACACGGGTCGGCCCGGCTCGAGCCAACTCCCCAAAAATGGGGCTTGGCTCAAGCCTCGGGCTTTTCCAGACCGAGCCATGGGAGCCCAAGCCGAATAACCCGATTGCCATCCCTAATACAGATGATTCGACAATTTATCCGAAAGACCTTTAACCCACTAAATATTCATTGTTATACATAACCAAATTATCCAAAATACCCATTCCTTTACCGAAGTGACCTAAATGCTAGTAGTTTAAGAAGGCAGAAATTTCATCACTGACTCACAGACCACAAAAAAGAGGCATAGTAACAGTTTGTTTGATTCGGATTAAAATTCAATTTTACTCTAAATCAAAGTCAAACACTCAATATTAATCATATCTTTTATGGTCCCACAACTTTACAACCACAAATTTCAAATTTTTTTTATCACAATTTACTAAAAAATCTACTTTTAATCCTCCACCAAACACCCCTAAAGCAAATCTTGAACTTAAAATCGTTGATGAACTCTTCTTTGGCTATCAAATTAAAGGTGTGTTTGATAGGCATTTTTATGTAAAAATACATTTTAGAATAGTAAATTGATGTGAAATGTGTGGCTGAGAAATAAGGAATTTTTTTTGATTTACGTGTAATATTATTTTAATAAAAAATGTGTGATTGAAAAGAAGAGAGAGAAAAATGCATTTTGAAATAAATGGCTACCAAACGGGACCTTAATTTCAAAGCAAGTGCAAAAAATCCCATTTCAAGGTTAGAATCTGATCCGTGTAACGTTTTTCAAATTTATGGTTATTTTTCTTCATTTAGTTCGATTACGTTGAAAACTATGAATTTATGGTATTAAATGTTGTTGGACGGAATACATGTGAATTTCAATTTATGCTTGGTTTAAATTTGATTTTAAATTGATTGTTGGTTTAAATTATGAGTTCGTGTTCTTCACCGATTCCCAATGTTCTTCATCGACTAAGGGTCAGTCAATGTTGGTGAGGATTCAAGTCTTTGAAGAAGATTGATTTCCATCTAAACTTAATTAATTCAAATTTACGTACAAGAAATCATTTTTTAAAGGAAAAATTTCATAAGTAAGAGATTGAGTATGACATATTTCAAAATTAAGAAAATAAATTTCAAACTTTAAAAATAAGATTTTTATTAAAATTTATTTATGATTTAATTAATTAATTAATTTTCTTATTAATTAAATATATTTATGTCACATATCTATACAATTTGATCACAAATTAACAATTTAATTAGTTACTTATTATTTTTTGGTCACAAATCAGAAATTTTATGTCACAAATTATTTTACGATCACAATTTAAAAAATTTTAGGTCACAATTCGTTCATCGGTCACAAATTGAAAAATTTATAAATCACGATTTATTTATTGGTCACAAATCACAAATATTACAAGTCACAACTTATTATACAGTCACAAATTATCAAATTATCGATTACAGATTAATAATTTATTAGGTCACAGATTATTTTTCGGTCACAATTTATCTTTTTCATTAATCACATATTAACCAATTTGATGGTCACAGTCAACCGAATAATTTGTGACTACCACCAACACTTACGATTCATAGTCACAATTTTCGGGTCACGTATCCAATTGTGAGTCACAGTCATAATTTTCAGGTCACATATTTAATTGTGAGTCACAAATCAACCAAACCGTCACGACCAATTGTGGCTCCCAAATTGTGAGTTACAATCACAATTTTAAGGTCACATATCCAATTTCGAGTCACAATTGTGAGTCACGATCACATTTTTCAGCACAGCCAACATCGCTGCTACCATAGCCAGCACTACCTCCTCTACTGCCGTCGAAACCCACTCCGCCGCCATATCTAATAAAAATGAACAAATCACCACCCAAAATCATCGCCCTACCACCATGACCACGACCAACATCATCATCAATTCTCTGAACGCCAAAAGAACCACCACCTCACTGACGTCGCCAACACGACCTGCAACCACCAACATTTCACCATCACCCCCCGCCACGACCCCCACCGCCGGCGACCACTCCAACACCACTGTACCTGCGCGCCCACCAGATCTACCATCACGCTGCCAACACCGCACACAACATTGCACAATCATCGTACACAACCACTCATTGCACCATACTTAGCCACCGGTCACTGCACACAACCACAACATCGCACCACCCACCCACTACACAACCCCGATCAACTTCCCCAAACTTGAAATATCAACCATACATCTCCATTCCTAGTTCAATTGTCCCTGACATCTTCCACCACTAGATGTACATATTCGACAAAAACACTCCATCGTCGTCGCCATAGCCGTCACTGCGCTGCCACCAGTACCAACACCAAGCAGCCACCACCTCGACAGGCACCTCCACGCCACTAACTCGACAGGCACCTCCACGCCACTAACACCAACACAAACTGCAGCACAACACTATTGCGTAACCAAAAATTGGGATAGTTAGAGCGCCGCCGGTGAAGATTCATTACTATAGACGGTGACATCGCTTAATTTCCCCCACTGTTGATAGTCGAAGGCTGAGAGGTGAGAATCGAGAGAGAGAGAGTATTGGGAATTAATTAGGATTTGTGTAACGGAATATATATATTTAATAAAATTTTTATTTTAAAAAATATTAATTAAAATAAAATATATGATTTTTGAAATGTTATATTCCTCATTGTATTTTAGAATTGTGATTTTTTAATGTATGGAATTGTGTGATTTCCACTTTTTTAAAAACAACATGCTGGCCAAATAGATACTAAATACATATATTAGAAAAGGTCACTTAACTTTCTCTTTGCCTCTCGTACGTGGTGCTTGGGTGCCACATAACCCCACGGACATCAAGCAGCACAATTCACATGGAATTGCACTTGAACATTCTTGACTTTGAAATTCAATGTTTAAATTTTTCACCCCTTCATCTCCTAATTTACGTTTGTGTCATATTATATATGTTGTTGGGATTTTGACTTATTAGTTGCGTCGCTCTGACCTCTTTCGACTCCATTGAAAAAATTTGATTAAAGAAGAAAAAATGTCGCGTACACAACCTGATGATCATGTTTTCACCACGTATTGTCCACGAGATTTCAAAATTCAAAAGGTTCAAGGCATGGTAAGATAACAAGATCAAGCTTAGAGCTTTACAAGCCTCGATAAATAATATGTTTCCTTATTTTTAATATCACTTTACTTATTCAAAGATTATCAATAATAAAATTTTCATGTATAGTGATTAGTTCCTTCAAAGTTACTACCATTATCAAGTTAGAATGTCAACCTTAGTGATGATCAAAAAATGGTCTTTGGGCTCAAGAATATTTCGGGGCTTGCAACAAATGCTCTCATCTATGGAGAAGTTGTAGCTTTACATCGAGAGGTTAAAGATTCGTTTAGCATGACTTTAATTTTTTATTTTGCTTTTTGGAGAAAGCTACCTTAATTTTTGTAAACTAATTTTTAAAAAAGTTCCATATTTTGAAAGTGGTTTTAGTGATAGTTACATTGGACCAACTTTTTATAAAGTTTTTTCATTTGGAAGAAGCACTTTTCATAAAATTAGTCAGATGGATCTAAAAGTAGCTTATGAATATCAAAAACTTGTCTTGACTTTTTGAAAATCATGCCAAATGAGCCCTAAATATGGTCCTCGTCATATTATTTCAAGATCACAGAATAGCTAATTAATTACTTGGCCCAGGTTCAGGCCCACAAAGAAAAATGCCCTGGTCCAAAATGAAGTTCCAAGGCCCAGCCCAAGACAGTCAATTATCCACTAATTGCACTCTCGGGATCATCTTCCTCCTTTACCCTCGGACCCCAACTTCTCTCCGTTCGTCTTCGATTTACAATCTTCATCTCACTGTTCTGTTTTCAAGATTCAATAGCTATCCAAATTTCTCCAACTTTTGAAGTTTTTATTTGTAAATGTTTTTAATCGAACCAGAACAGGCAAAACTCCGCAAGAGGTAAGCCAGGGTCTCGTTTTACAGCGTTCCTTTTTCCTTTTCTCAGCAAACACTTTATGTTAACAAATAAGTAATTGAACTATTTTCGGACGGAATTTAGTGTTTTTTCTCGTTTAGAATCACAGTTTTTACGCTATAGATCCTGTGTTTTTGCTGTCCCCATTCTTGTAATTATTTTATCTCCCAAACTGAATGCTTAATATAAATTGCATTTCATGAACTAATTTCACTTGCATTGTGGAAAAAAAAAATTTGTATCCGTGCTCGTGTAATCGAATCGAGTACTAGTTGCTTTAACGTCTAGCTTTTTAGTGTTATTGATTTACTCAGTTTTTGATTTATTAAGTATATGGGGAAGTGTGTGAATTGTGGTTCTCGATTAATAATATTTGCAAATGGGAACTTTGTTTGTGAATACTTTATTTTTATTTTATTATTATTATTATTATTATTAATTTTTTTTTTGGAATTGAATCTTTCTATTTTATTCTATGAACTCAGCTTTCTTGCACACATTCATGCATCCAGTACTTAGCATCACCATCATGAACACTTAATTTGAGGAGCGGTAAATTTAGCACCAAATCTATTTTGTATTGTTATTTGAATTAATTTTTTGTTTGAACTTAGGGTCTAGTTGAGAGGGATATCAGTACAAGGGAAGGAAGCAAATATCAGTTTATTGGTTGGTTTTCTTGCCTGAGCTTGCACTACGCTATGCAACTGGCATTACGTATACTTCTTACTCAATTGGAGTTTTGAAACGTTTTTGTATGAGAAGATAAGGCTGAAAACAATGTATGGAAGATCAGGTCTTGATCGTTTTAAAAAAGCTGAGACTTTGGAACCATTCTCAGTTAATACAAATTCAGCTACTAAATCAACCACATCGGCGTCTACTAATGCAGCTCTCCGTTCCACAGCTCCAATTAATAATCCTCAAACATCTTATCCACAAACCAATTACCTAAATCAACACAATGTTTTGCAAAAAACCGGGGGCCCGGATATGGCCTCAGCTGTAGTGCCTACTCAGCACATGACTCAGTTTGGAGGAGGCCAGTCGACCTGGCAGCCTCCTGATTGGGCTATTGAGCCACGACCAGGTGTTTATTATCTTGAGGTTTTAAAGGATGGAGAGGTTCTTGATCGGATTAATTTGGATAAGAGGAGGCATATCTTCGGTAGGCAGCTTCCAACTTGTGATTTTGTCCTGGACCATCAATCTGTCTCGCGCCAACATGCTGCTGTTGTTCCTCACAAAGATGGAAGGTTTGATATATAAACCTTTTGTAACTCTATTTTCTTTCTTTTACAGTTCTTTCACACTGCTTTAGCATATATTTTTTTTATTTCTTATAACCGTCAAGCTTTCCCCAAAATATATAGTGCAGAAATATGTAGTTGTTAATTTGTAGAAATTAAATTGATCAGTAGCATTACCTGTCGGATGTTCTGCTACCCGTTTTGAAGTAAACAGTTTAGTACCTACAATATTATCTGTAACTCTATTGATCAACATATGATTCTTCCATAATTTAATATCAAACAGAATATGTGCTTTAGGTCAACATACGTATATCTCTGTTTGCTGACAAAGTAAGAAGAGTAATTTATAGGAAATTGCTTTTGAATTCATTTATTGGACATTTCAGAATTGAAAATGTATTTTTATTCATATGAACAGTTACGTTTACTGTCACTGACACTGTTGCATATATCTGTCGCAGTATATATGTAATTGATTTGGGGTCAGCACATGGAACGTTTGTTGCAAATGAGCGATTAACCAAAGATTCTCCTATTGAGCTTGAGGTTGGACAGTCTCTGCGGTTTGCTGCATCTACGAGAACTTACATATTGAGGAAGAATAATGCTGCTCTATTCCCTCCACCTCCAAAACCTGCAGAAATTGAATTACCTTCTCCTCCGGATCCTTCAGATGAAGAAGCGGTTTTGGCTTATAACACATACGTTAATCGTTCTTTGAATGGGTTGACACGGCCTGACATATTATCTAAATCCACAGGATCGAGTAGCTCATCAGGTGGAAAGGATGATAGTCGGCTAAATGAGAGAGCGCCAAAGAGAATTAGGAGAACCAGAGTGGCATTTAGAGATCAGGTTGGTGGGGAGCTGGTTCAAATTGTTGGGGTTTCAGATGGGGCTGATGTAGAGACAGAACCTGGTCCTATGGGTGTTAAAGAAGGAAGTCTTGTTGGAAAATATGAATCCCTTGTACAAATCACTGTAATACCGAAAGGGACAGAACAGACCTCCTCTGTGAAGGAAGTCTCTGTCTCCCAAATAGGCGTGACAGAGAAACTTCAACAAGTTTTGAATAAGGTCAAGACTCCTTCGAAGAGTGGTGGAATGTATGATGATCTTTATGGAGAATCATTTTCTGGCAAAGTAGGTTCTTCTTGGGCATTATCAACTGCTGGATCTGGTGGTGGACAAGCTTCTCCCAGTAAACATGCTGAAGGAAATGCTCCCAGTTCTGTAAGTGAAAATCCAAAAGTTAACCCTGGAGATAATGATGACGACAATGATGATGATCTATTTGGCTAGGCAGAATGAGCTGTTTATTTGTGAATTAAGACGAGATGATGATGCTAATCAAGAAGAGAACATTTTTTATTTTGATTCAGCAACAGGTACTGTCCCTTGGATGGAAATTTTTGTTGTACTTTATCTTCTTACAACCTGTCATGTGTCTCCATGAACCTTTGATTTGATCATAAATTGTGGGCCTGAATTTCTACAAGGAGGATTTTGAAGAGGATTCTTGTTATATATTGGAACATGATCTTGTGTTAAGTTATAAATTAATTAAATTTTCTTTATTTCTTACATTCCTAAACATGCAGAAGATTGTTTTGATCACCTTCTTTTACATCCATGATGAACATAGGACATTGGATCTAAATCGGTCTCAGCACATTTGAGGGTTTTATGGTTGAAAACATGGTTTCTGTAGTGCATAATGAGTATTTCTGAATGGTAGATTGGTTATGAACTTTTTCAATGTGGTATTTACCAGGCAGTCTATATGGAAATAGGGAATTGCAGCAAATGAAATTAGTAACCTATTATTTCATCAAATGCAGTAGCCCAATGTTTGTATGTTTCATTGTGTAATAGTGCAGAACGTAGTGTCTTCTGCAATTAATTCATCACATAGAAAATCTCCAATGGAAGTTTGTACACCTTTTGGTTTTTCTTCTGAATGATGCCATGAAGTTCAGGTTCACTATGTATATTTCAACTTCGCATGTCCATTGTTGAGATTGATATCGGTTCTGAGATGGTCAGTCTAAATGGTTTTGGATGCAAATTGATCCCTTTGTGACCTTCCAGAAACTGAGACAACAGAACACTAATTAGCATTTCATGTCAAGATTATGAAGTTCAATTATGCAAATGAAGAACAGTCTTACCATTATCAACTTTTCCATAAATTCTTTCTTCCTGCGAAGCTTCTGGAGTTGGGTCCATAGGGACGCTTCATGGGCCTGATGTGCACGCGTGTGTGTGTGTGAGAGAGAGAGAGAGAGAGAGCTAAAAGTTGTGTTTGCTAAAGCTCTCATCTTCAATGTTTGCTCATATTATTGTTAGTTGTTTAGACGTAATTTTCTGTAAGACCACTTTACTCTATGAGCCGTGAACGAGTTATATATCTTGATTTTTGAAATGGTCTTTCTATCTTTAAAATTTACTGCTACTTTAGTGAAACTCTTAATCATCATTTACAACATCAGGATAGGATTTTTAGTTTTTTGACTATTGAAGTTTAGGGTAAATAAACGTACCCTTTATTGGTTTGTGTATAAGCCGTTGCCTCCCTGTTCTTAATTTTCGTTTGCTCCAACCTGCAGGCAGTCTCTTTTTCAGTCTTTATAACCCCCATGTACTTTCTCTTACTTTCTTCCTCTTAGAGGGTATTTGTATTGGCCATTGAATTCCCAACTGCCTGTGTCAAGAAATTCTTTCTACCACTTCCCTGAGCCCTGAAGTATTTGGTGGATGGAACAAGCAAAATTCCACCACCACCACAGTCTGATCCATAACAATTCATGACCCCATTGGTCTCATTGTGGGGAGTTATATTCACACTTGGAAAGTGGCGTGGACAACTTCCTGTAGCGTCTAGGCTTGTTACTCCTGCCATTTCTTTGACCATCATTTTACTCTCGAGTTTCAATATTTGTTTTGTTCAAGCTATTTTTTTTTTTAATCAATAAGTATAAATTTCTATGGATCAAAACTCGTACTCCGGGCATACTCGGGGTAAACAAGAACAAAAAATGTATTAACGATAAGATCTAAAGACCTAATGCTAGAAGCTCAAAATGAATCAAAACATGAGGTTACAATAAGAACATGACTTTGTATACATGTTTTTTGATCCGTCACACTATGCTATCAATGTGTGGTTTAAGATCGTCAAAAATCTTCCTATTTCTCGCCATCCAAATGTAGTAAACGGTGCAAGCAAGTGCAATTCTCTTACCTTTGCCAAGATGCCCCTCGAGCTTCTTTTTTAATCCACTTCAAAGCACTAGCTAGTGTAGACATGAATCGTCTCATTCCCAACAGCTTTCGGATCTGTTCCCATGTTTCGTTGTTGAACGGGCATTCAAAAAATAGGTACTTACCATATTTTTTCTTAAATCCACAGAAAACGCAGCTTCTATCTATTTCCAAATGTTGTAATTTATCTTTGGTAAGTAGCCTAGAGTGAGCACTTAGCCAAAGAATAAATGAATGTTTCGGTGTGATACATGGCTTCCAAACATCTGCTACCTAGGTTTTGTTAATTCCCTTCGGCCGGAAATACTCATATGACTTAGACATAATCAGCTTGCCCTCGGTTGTTATGCACGTTGATGGATTCCACTTGGTATGGAGGCAGTATTGTGTTTTCAAGCTTTTTAAAATCATGAAGGAGAGCAGTGAACTGGTCTCGGATCGACTGTGGAAGATCTGAATCGTTACTACCATGGCCATGGGTGATGTACACACACAGGCGGAGCCTGCACCTTGCTAGGTGGCGCGGCCCCTCGTGCTAGCTCTGCCGGAATTTACAGGTTGGCTGTACACACTACCAGGTCTTCGAAGTTAATAGCATCATCTGATTTTAACCAGGTCATTTTCTCTCGAAACTAGTTTAAATCTTGCAGCATGAAGTCTTCTAATTGGTCATCAACTTCTTGGTGAAGGCCTGTAGAATCGAATATATTCCGTCAAGCAATGACGGAATTTATGAGTAAGGCCCTTTCAGTTCATTAACAACGCTGTTTCTTAGATTCATCGAGTGAGAAGTTTAAGAAAGGATCAAATGTCGGGCCATCCTTGGTCTGAAACGCCTAAAGTTCTCTTGTTTTCGGCCTGGTTCACTGCCACGGCCAAGGCCTGCATTAGTTGTTCCGTGTCAGGTCACGGAGACGGTGCTGGCTTGTACCGTGATTTTGGCCCAGCACATTGTGATGACTCTAGATTTACTCGTTTGCATCACCACAAAAAGTCGAGCAAAATTTGAAAATCCAGGATTTAAGTTGAACGTCGAGTAAAATTCACAATTTAGATATACTTTTATATTCTTTTTTGATAGAATTTTGTATCAAAATTATTGTATTTTGGAAGAGCATTTTTCTCGATCAGAATGAAGGCGCTACTAGAAAGACTCGTTTTTCAATTGTCTCATGAAGATTGATGTTTAAAAGGACTCTCAATCGTTCTAGCATCCAACTATATTATCAGTGTGTGTCCTGTAGAGACCTAATCTCATAGCATTAAAAATGTTGAAAACTCAAAATTTCACTTTTGAAGGTGGGACATCATTTTCACAACCTGACCCGGTCTTAATTTTTCCTTCAATTTACCTACAACTATCTGCAATTTGAAGTTGTGTGGTTGGAATCCACAGCAACAAAAACTTAAATGAATTAATGGGACAGAATTTCCAAAAAACAAAAATGAATACAAAGGATAAATTATCTTCAACTCGTCAATCCTTAAAAAGATTAATTTCCTTTGGTAGATATTGGAAAGGCAGAATGAGGACTATTGTCCCCAAATCCTTTAAACAAAGTCAATCGACATTAGAAAGATGGTGGCACCAACTACACTACACTACCGTAATAATGATCACAAGTCTTACAGAAAGTACACATAATTTACAGAGTGATAATAAAAAAGACCATCATCAGGGTATTTTCGTGTTTCTAGACCAAGCAATAACAAAGGAGATCAATTAGAACTTCTATTCCATCATTTCATATTCTTTTCTTTTATGGGCATGACACCCACCAAATTGAACAATTGGACTAAAGACGAAAAAAATCGTCAAATTTTGTCAGCAGTCAAGTGTAACAGTTCTAAATAATAAAGAATCTATGCATTTTTTCACATTCGCACTTGTGCGGAAAGGAAATTAAGCACAAAAACCCAAGTCTAGAAAAGAAACTTCTATTGATGAGCAAAAGTTTGACAAAATTGTGAAATACGAATCTAACAAGAAGATACCACCTTCCCCAATGAAACTTCTTTCCCCGCAGCAGCAAGCCAGCAACTGAAAGAGAAATGAACAGGTATGCCTGAAAACCTGTTGCTTGTTCTCCGGAACACCCAACAAAGTCCTGTCCAATCAAGATTTCATGTGTGTCAATGAATCAAATGGTAGATGACAGGACACACAATAAGCAAAACCTACCATCAAACCTTCGAAAAGAAGACTATAAAACTAAGTGGGAGAAACTATAATGCATGATGAGATATGTGTAGTATGGGACCTTTCTATCTGGTCCCACCAACCACTTTTTTCAAATTAGCGCCTGCTGGAGGACCCACGCCCACCCCTACCACTTGCTTTGCATGCTACTAGGAATGAAACCAATCACATATGGTGCACAAAAGACTAAAAAAAAGGGTTGAACCCCAACTTTGAGGACCCCCACCGCCCTACCCCTAAAACATCGTGTGGGAGGTAAGTTGTGGGATGTGCCCCAACAGGTTAGGAAACAAGAGTTTGCCCATACACTGGTGCCCATCAAGAGTCCAATTTCATATCTTAGGAATCGAAGCACAAAAGACTAATTTGTATGTGTGTTTGTCTATAGGCATACATAACTATATTATTTGCTTTTTCCCACGTTCAAGTAGTTTAACATGATTCTTTTGATGCATTACTTTATATGTTGACTACAAGCATATTTAATATACACTAGTCATGTTTCCATATGTCTAGGGTTATATATTTCTGTATGTGAGATATGACCTATAGGTTGCTAGTCTCTCATTCCTCTCTTTTTGTGCATGTCTATCCGGTTTTTCAATAACATCAATACTACACACAACAAATTGATAATAGTTTTTTCTCTATTCTGTAGTTGTGTATATATTTGAATCACAAGTTCAACGATTCCATGAAATTCAGTCAAGGATGATTCGTGTTCAGCAAGTGATGAAGTGTTGATTATTAGTTAATGGAAGTTGAAAATGTAAGCTTGCAGCTTTGTGGGTTAGTTAACGGCGATCAGGTGCTTTTGCGGTACATCTTGATCCTTCTTTCATATATTTTAATTGTGTACTCAATCCCACTGATTAAAGTGCATTAATGAACATATATGTACTTAGAAGAGGCTTAGGAGTGTATAATTATTTTTTCCTATTCAAGGATTGAAAATGAATTCAAGATCTTATTTCTATTAGGAAAAAGAACATTGATTTGCACCCTATATATAATAACCTTATAATTCCATTCAGTCTCTCTCCCAAAGCAAGGGTAACTAGTTCAAGATTCCAGGTACCTATGCAGTTAAAGGTGGTGGTTACAACGAAACAT